AAAGAATTTAGTTATTGTCAGATTATATTGACCTTCAACTGCCTGGCTCTTATTGTAACAATATGATTTCTCCAGTGTTACATGAAGCAACTACTTACTGGTCTTCATTACTGTCATATCAATCAAGTTCTTCATAGGGACATCAAAGGTTATTCCTTCCTCCATCTTTTATGTTTCTTACATTTATTTAATGTTCTGCTAGAAAAGTAAACCTATGTGAGATTCTCTTTTGCAGGTTCCAATCTTCTCATAGATAATGAGGGAAATCTGAAGCTTGCTGATTTTGGGCTAGCACGATCATATTCTGGTGATCAGAATGCTCATCTTACAAATCGTGTTATTACTCTTTGGTACAGGTAATTCCTAGCTCTGTAATAGCAAAAATGGTTGTTTGGCTCTTTGAAACTATTCCGCAAATGCAGTTCCTCTGTCAGCTGGCTAATCTTTAACTTTTGAACAGGCCTCCAGAGTTGTTGCTTGGAGCTACAAAATATGGCCCAGCTGTTGACATGTGGTCTGTTGGTTGTATATTTGCTGAGCTTTTATTTGGGAAACCAGTTTTACCTGGGAAAACTGAGGTAACGCTACATTTGACTTTTTTCCATGCATATGAAGTCATGAAATATTAAAATCCTTTGGCCCCTTAATTTTACAGTACTCCTACTTTCTGTGGTTGGTGGATTTGTAGGTGTAACTCTTTCTATAGGTTATTCATGATCTTCTATTTATGCTCATGAAGGAAGCTTTAGTTACTCCATATTACTTTTACCTAAAACACCTGCGTGTTTTTGTTTTCTTTTTCTTTTTTATTATCAATTTCCTCTGATTAATTGTTTATTGCAGCCTGACCAGTTGACTAAAATATTTGAGCTTTGTGGAACCCCTGATGAAATTAACTGGCCTGGGGTTACAAAGGTTCCTTGGTACAACAAGTTCAAGCCAGCAAGGCCGGCAAAAAGACGAGTGAGAGAAGTGTTTAGACAGTAAGTACACAAATTTCTAAAGTCTCCTATTATTTCAATCATCCGATATTGGGACAGAAGTCATAGTTATTTACTTAATAATAACCTTGGATGCAGTTTTGATCGCCATGCTTTGGATCTACTGGACAAAATGCTGACTCTTGATCCTTCAATGGTATCTCTATTAGTTTGGCAATACGAAACATTCTTAATAAAATTATTCTATTCTCAAGTTCTACACATTGCAACAGGCAACTATTTATAGGATAGCATTGCACATCCGGTCTATCTATTCACGTGGCATACTACCTGCATTCAAATTCCTTATATTGTTTGTGAAGTTGATGTAATTTAATAAATTGATAATGTGGAGTTGAAAATATTGAAATTGATTGATAACTATAAAGGCAAGAAGACCATCCTGAAATTTTATGTCGCAATCATGTTTTCTTTCATTAAACTTCAATATTTTTATGACAATAAATACAGATGTAGTCTTTGCTGTGGCATATTGAGTAGCATTTAGGGGTTTATGGCTGAATTTTTGTTCTGTAATGACACTTCGATGTGAAGAAGACTAGGATCACTTTCTTGAAATTATGTCATATCAATATATCATCATCGAAGAGGCACATTTTGAATTTAGATTTTGAATCTTACAATTATTTGCTGCCTTCTAGGCCTCTAGCCAAGTGTTTTAAACTTATGTCTCAATTTGTATAGAGGATACCTGCAAAGGATGCACTTGATGCTGAATATTTTTGGACTGACCCCTTACCTTGTGATCCAAAAAGGTATGACCAATGATGATCTTCTAAGTTTTACTTCTTGATTTGTCATGCTCATTTATATATGATTTTCCCTGCTGATCAATCCTGTAGTAGTCTTGATTATGCCATTACTTCTTGCAATCGTGAAATGCCAGCCAAATGGCCAAATTGTTAGTGTGTCCCTACATTTCTTTAAACATCTTTACCTTTTTATTTTTATTTTTATTTTTATTTTTTATTTTTTATGTTGATCAGTCTACCAAAATACGAGGCATCACATGAGTACCAGACAAAGAAGAAACGGCAACAGCAGCGGCAGAATGAAGAAATGGCAAAACGACAGAAGTTGCAGCATCCACATCATAGCCGCCTTCCTCCCATCCAACCAGGACAAGGAGCTCACGCTCAACATTGGGGTGGACCTAATCATCCTATGAATAACAACTCCCAACCTGCACTTGCGACCGGATCTAGTCATCATCAGTATGGAAAGCCTAGGGGTCATCCCGGAGGACAGGGCAGATACCCTCCAGGAGGTAACAACCCCAGCAGTGGATATTACCAAGACCGGGGAGGACAAGGTGGAGGTTATGGCAATGCCCCATATCCACCCGGAAGTGGCGTGCCAAACACCGGTCCTCGTGGAGTTGGCAGTGGATATGGAGTCCCTCCTAATTACTCGCAAAGTGGTCAGTATGGAGGCTCTGGCACGGGTAGAGGTCCGAATCAGATGGGCAACAACAGAAACCAGCAGTATGGTTGGCAGCAATAGAAGCGCACCCCTACTTGCACATAACTATTCATCGGTAAGGATTTTCCAACTGGAAATGTATAGACACGATTCATTATTGGTCAATATTTGATCAGGCTGTCAATTGAAATGCGCATCCAATTTTCAGAATTATAGCTAGGAATAACGAATGTATGTTACAGAAAGAGTCTCCAATGAACTGTTCATTTGAACAGTAATCAAACTGGATTTTTCTCTCCAGATTTCGTCATATTGGCAGCCTATTGCCATGGCCTGTGGGGCGGGTGGCCCTTGTCAGGCCACTTTGACGGTTCTACCTTATACGTACTGTTATACTTTCATTTTCTATTCTTAACTTTTACTCTTACACATAAAATTTGGATGTAGACATTTATATTGGAATCCACATAAAAAAGTAGTTTATTAGTGTCCGTCTAATCAGAGAGTAAAATTTAGGAAATTCTGTAGAACTCTTTTCAACTTATTATCTACTTTTGTGTGGTAGTTATTTCTCAAGCTCTTTCTTTGATATTAAACTCTATTATGGTTCAATAGAAATTTGAATGATGAGTGATGGGATCTCATGTTTATTTAATTGTGAAATGAATATAGGTGTTGCCTTGAGAATATGAGATGAACAAAGATCATAGGTCAAGGCAAATTATGGTTCACATTAACAAAGGGATTGGCTCTGCAGGATAGGTATCTAATTTCAAAAACAAGCTTTGGTCAATAATTTAATGGCACAGCCTTTTAGGTGAAAGAACAGTAATGGCAGGAAATTTGCCATTGCCCATTGGCCATTTGATTTGATAGCTTAGCTGTAACTAAAAAGAATCACATGAGCAAGTATTCAAAAATAAAAAATAAAAAAATCACATGAGCAAGTAGGTAGGCATAGGCTGGCTATATCTTGTACTTCAACAGCTACACCAACGTACTCCCCCCTTCATTCCTTTGCTTATCCCCTCTCCTATATTTTACACCAAAAAATACCAGATGTATTCCTATTTTATACTCTTAATTTTTACTCTTCACACAAAGTTTTGATGTAAACACTTGTATTGAAATCCGCATAAAAAAATAGCATATCAATGCCCGCCACATCAAGGTGTTGGGACCCACATGAAAAAGTAGACTATCAATGCCCGCCACATCAGGGAGTAAAATTTGAGAGTCCATGTAGTAGAACTCTTTTTCACCTATCTAAAGTTACCCATAACAGTTATAGCAAAATCAACAACAAATCTACTAGATATACTCTCAAAATCTTACTCACAATTTGTACTTCCACTTGTGTTCAAATTTGATTGGAGGAAAAAAGAAAAAAAAATTAATAAACATCATGGTCTCCTACTAAATTAAGCAATCAAAACATGTCATGTCATAAGGAGTACAAAATACAAAATGAGAGTATAATTTGGGAGTACATGTAGAATTACTCAATCAACAAGTTATGCGACTCTTGATTGAGATGAGACTCAAATCTAAGATTTTTTTCTATTGGAAAAAAAATAGTGATATCAAATCACAAATTATTTGATGTAAAATAAATTTTGTAATTTAATTGGTTTAGAAAAATTATGTAGATGTATGTCTACAAGCTTCCACTAAGTCAAAATTCTACCATTACCCTTACTCACTACCCATATAATGCTATGGCATCTTCACAAGTCACATCTTTTGATACAAATATGGGGTTTTCTTTGTCTTTACTCATGAATATTGCTTAAATATCATAAATTTGACACATTCAAAATGATATAAGTGTATTTAATTAGTTTAATAACAATATTAATTTCCTATTAATAAGTATAATCTAATGTGACATTTATTACAAGTCATATTATTTAATATTTGAAACTACTTGTCATTTTCATTAGTTACTATAAAAATCAAATAAATTTATGATAATGCAGTTCATAATTAACATTATATTTATTTTGATAATAAAAATATCACCTAAGGTGTCGTGATTAACTAAGGACCTTGTAGTCCAATGATTCCTCAATGGAGGTATTTGATGTAATAGGGTATTCTCTTCTTATAAAAAAAATAAAAAAAATACGGAGAAATAATAACGATAATAATAATAATAATAATAATAATAATAATAATTAAAGAGCAATGTTACAAAATACTATTTTCTCTACAAATTTTCATTCATGATGTGTCATCATGTGATTGGTAGTTAAATTTATTTATTAGTCAGTGGTAAGTTAACTAATTCATTGGCACCCAATGAATGAAAAAAAACACACAATGAGAAAAAAAGTTTGGAGGCAAAAATTAAGAGGGAAAAGAAGATTTTTCATAATTAAAATTCTTATTTTAAAAGATTAAAAGATAATTGCATCATTTTCCAATCTTTGCAAGTAGTTTGAATATGGACAAGATTTGATAAAAAAAATGATTTTGCTTTTAGAAATTTCCTTATTTTTTTTTTCCAACGTGGCAAGGGGAGCAGACCAAGTCCGGAGGATAATGATATTTGTCATAAAAGCGGAGTGAGAAGGGCATTGTTGTCCGAGATGCGTGTCTGAAGATCGAAGCGTGCATCCTTTCCCGTTCGCTGCTTAGACCTAGAAACTACAAAGGATCACTCTCTCTTCTCATGTAACGTCTTCTGCACTTTTCTCTCTCAATGGCGGTGATTTCAGGCGAAGAGGTATGAGTTTTCTCCACTGCGATTCCCTGCTTGGATCCGTTTAGCTGTTTCTTCTAAGTTTTCTCCTCTGATTTCAGCTGCATTTTGCTGTTTTTGTTTTTTCTGCTTTTCGATCTTCTCTCCAAGCTCTGTTCTGCTTTGCTGTGATTTGTTTTTCTGAATTTGAGCCGGTTCTGTTTGAGCATGTGGAATTGCGGCACACTGCATGTTTCTGTTTGAGGTTTAAGCCTCTGTAGCTGTAGTGTGTATCTGCGTGTTTTATTTTGTTCTGCCGTTATTTTGATGTGATTTCTGGCTTATGATCAATTTGATCTTGTTACTTGTTTACTGATAAATAGGTGATAATGCGGTTAGTTTTATTTCCCGGAAAATATTTGATGAATTGATTGTATACATTTGTTATTATAATAAACATATCGGATCACTGGCTTTCTTTTCCTAATCATTAATTTCATCTTTCTATTTGTTTTCTTTTAGTTCTGTCTAGTGTTCTTTTATCAGTTAGTGTGCGATTGATTGCTGAAAGAGCCTATGTTTTTTTTTTTTTTTTTCAGCAGAGCCGTGAAACTCACAATTTTGCTGTATTGAGCAATGGAGGTCCTAACAATCAACAATACGAGTCACTTCCAAAACCGTATGAAGTAGAAATTCCGATTACCACCGATGCCCCATCAAGCTGTCAAAGCCACTTCAACCAGAAGATGAATAATGCAGATAATTATGTCCCATATATTTTGGATATAAATGTTGAGAAAGGAAAGTTGGAAGCTCCTAAATGTGCTTATGGAACTGCTCGGAATTTGAAGGCAGAGGATTGCTTAGCAGTAAGTTTCTTCTCACATTTACCAAAGAAATTAATCAGCCAAAGGGTTTTGTGCTTTATTCAGGGCTTTACTGGTTGGGTTTTTGGTATTGTATTGTTAGAGTGTTGTTTGATTGCTTTACAGAATATATTGCAGAGAGAAATCGCGTCACAGCTTGGAGGAAAGCTTATGCAGCTCTTAATGAATAATAGCGTTGAGTTACCTAAGTTTGCTTCCAGAGGTAGATTTCATGTCACAGCATCTTTTATGTGTTCTCTGAGTGGATTTCTACCAAATGTATCCTTTCTTTATTCTTCTTAGCATGCCTTGTATTTTAAGGAACATCTCCACTAGAGATGGCTTTGACAAACTCTTACGTCTCAGGAATCTCTTCTTTAGATAAGATAGCATATTTACTAACTCTGCTTATGTTGTGAACCAGACAAATGTGTGACCGAGAAAACCTGTGATACGCTTACCAACAGATTGAGGAAGTACAAGCGCTCAGCGTCATTCAATTCAAGAAGAGTTGTTCTCCTGTTCTCCATTCTGTAAGTGCTAGCGCTTCTAGTCATTCTTTCCATATTTTGAACTTTCCTTTCTTTCCTGAACCATACTGCCCATACAATGATACAATCATACATCCCATTATTGCTCTGATCTGTATTTGATGAATGATCAAGAACCAAGTATCATTACTTAAATTTTCATCCCAATTCAACGAAATTTCATCAGAATGAACCCAAGGTTGTGTTTTGCAAAAGTTTTAACTGATGATGTTTTCATGACATAGTAAACCAAATATTACGAAAGCAGATTTAAAAATGTTTTAAGCACTTTGGATGATGCTATGCCTAAATGAGAAGAGTTGTGATTTGTATGGATTATCAGAAAAAGGTTTTGTAATTATGCTAGAGCAAAGATCATTATTAATGTCAAGGCTTCAGAATGAGAGTTTTATTTCAAAATAAGAACATGATTATCACATAAATACTTGATGGATAATTGAAATCATGGGAACAAACCATACTAATGCAACTTTCTTTTCTTTATAGGTCAATCATGGGAACAATCATACTGATATATCTAACGCTGAGAGTTAAACAGATTGGTGATGGTGCTGATAGTGTTTGATGTTTCTATTTCTCAGTTGTGCCGTCCATCGTTAGTAAATTAGGTTTGCTAGGAGTTTTATTATTCCCCTTTTGCGTGTGTGTGTGTGATGTTCTTTCATGGTAGCTTTATTTGATTTTGTACATAAATGCTCCGAACATGAAGTTCAAAATTCAATAGTTAGTGGTGCCGCCAATATAATTTTGCACTGCTTTTTCCCTTGAGTTAACTCTTGCAATATGCGCTCTGTGGATGCCATCAGAATCACAAACCAAAAAAATGCGAACTTAGAAGTTAGAACTAGGCAGACAACTAAGATTTTATGATTCAAATACCGCATTGACTGATCAATAATTTTGGTTGGCTGTATGATTCCATCCAAGTAGGATTCAACTTAGATCTGGATCTGGCGCTACATAATTGAGTTAGATTCATATCTCAGAGGATCTTTCACCATGGCCTGGACACTAATCCTGTCGGGTAGCTAAATGGGGCACATAAATAATCTGCCGGTTCCAGTCTGCCTGAAGACATCATCAGGGCCGGGTAGTACCTGATCTCATTTACTCCGTATAAGTCCGTATTTTGATTACTGGGAAAGGCCATCCTTGCCTCCTTATTATGTATATATATATTTGACTTTTCGTAATTTTATGCTAGTTGGATCCAACAACACCGACAAAAAGCTATCTACCCAAAATACCAATTTTTTTTTTTTTTTTTTTTTTTTTGAAAAAAAAAAAGAGTTGGATTAGTTTGGTTCATAACCATATTCAGAAAATCTCCATCTTCGTTTTCGTTATCGATAATAGAGAAGACGGGCAGCCTCCCTCTTTTTGTATTTCCAAAAATTTTGAACTACATGGAGAAGATGTATATATAAAGATAAAAACTTTTATCCAATCAAACACCCTAACATAGTATTGCATATTTATGTACTATCCTCATTCCTCCTCTTTTGGAACAAACTCTAGCACGCACAACCTCCTCCTTGCTGCTCTGAGTTGGAAGTGTTAGTGGTAGGCTTCAAATTCACATCAACCATATCTTCCTGTTTCGTAGATGAAAGTGTTTCCATCCCAGGCAATGCAGCCGCTATCTTTCGGAATAGGGGCTGCAACATTACACTCCGATTTGAGACTTACCAGTGCACAAGTTAAATCTTGTAATATTCATTTAAAATTTTCTTTATTTTAGAAGAGATGAACAGAAAGTCAAACACTTTTTGATCCATATTTTACCACCAAAAGTAGGACAAAGATGACAACAACACCAAAAATAGTAGTGCCAGTTTTCATTGAGGGGCATGGTATTCATACCTTGATATTGAATCCAGCTTTTGCACTGGTTTCTATAAACATGACTCCGAATTCGCGGGCCTTAGCATCTCCTTCTTCTATTGATACTTGCCTGTTTAAACACCAGACTCACCATTACAACAATTAGGTGAAATTCCTATTCCTAGTAATAAAATACTATACATTAGAAAGGCTAAATGAAAAGAATCCAATCCCATTGTAATTCTCATACACTTCTAAAACCAATCTCTCTCTTTCAGTTTTCTAATTGGAAGTAGACATGCCATCAATGAAGGTTTATAAATCCACTATGACACACATTATATTTATCCCAGATTATGATTAGCATTACTCTATACAGTATGAATAATTCAATTGTACATATTCCAAGTGAAAAACTGTTCAATCTTTGTTTAGTTATACATTGCAAGCCAAATTTTCCTAATTGGAACAAGCAAATTTAGCCATGAAATCCTAGTGGAGCTGAAAAGAGAGACAGTGCATTACAGTTTCCAAAATCCATGATTTAGTTAGAAATTTTTTAAGGACGCATTTGCTCCAAATTGGGTTCATTTCCAGAAAAAAACCAAACAACCCAAATTTGACTAGCAGAGACCAAACATTTAAGCTACTATTAATGTGTAAAATGAAAACTGCAAAAAGAAGAATCATGTAGCTAATTCATCATTAAGTAATGCAGTTTTATCCCCCACCTTTTATCAACAAGATCTGTTTTGTTTCCAACAAGAACAATGATCACATCACTACCTCGCTCAGTGCGTACTTCTTCAATCCACTTTGAAGTGTTCAAAAATGATTGGCGATCTGCAAAGGTGGGAACTAGCTTATTAGCTACGAAGAGTTGCATTTGATAAATGACAATGAATAGCCACAGCATTATAAAGAAATGTAGCCATATCAAAAGAAAATTACTAGAATAGCAAATTCCCATTTTCTATCACTCACAATTGTTTAGATTGCAAAAACAATGACAAACTTGTAGAAACTTATAAGGTTAGCACTTAGCTTCAATCAACTACTCACTTGCAACATCATAGACAACAACTGCAACAGAGGAATCTCTTATGTAGCTTGGAATAAGACTTCTAAATCTTTCTTGGCCTGCGGTATCCCTGTATGAAGTCGGAAATCAAATGCTAGAAAGGTTATAGAACATAGGGAAGGTTAGTATGTGTGTGAGTGTGTGTACACACACACAACTACATGTATTGGAATAGTTCGTAAAGGTAGTTCATCTTAATGGATCAGTTTATATAGAACTGTTACGAAGAAGAAAACATTATCTATATATGACATCAAATAATGTTCCTTTGATCCTTTCAGCTGTTATTGAGCTTGATGGCTCACTTTATGTACAAAAAGAAATCAAGAAAATACTGTATTTCATCCTTTTTAATATCAGTAATTATCTTTTCCAGACAAGATCAAGTACTTTTATAGTTTTTAAATGCCAGTCCTGTTGATCCAACATATGCACTAACAGGTATACATAAATACAGGAAAGAATAAGAACCCTACCAAAGCTGCAAGCGAACTGTTCTATCTTCAAGGTACATTGTCTTTGATAAGAAATCAATACCAATAGTAGCCTGCATTGTATGGGATATCAGCAAGAGCTCTCAAATAATGCAAGATGCAGGTAAGAAGTCACGATTTTGTATGTAAAGAAAAGGTCAATATAGGAACAATGCCCATGTTAATATTGGGCTAGGAGAATATGTAAGCCCAATATAGGAACAATGCCCATGTTAATACACCATAGAGAAGGTTAGCGGAGCGTTATGCCATGGAACCGTGTTCACCATGAATGGTGAACACGGTTCCAACGGTGTTAGTACACCGTTATCTTTTTTTTTTTTTTTTTTTTTTAAATTAATTGCGTGACTTTTCTTCTTCATTTTCACATTTTGCGGTTTCACTTTAATTTGAGGTGAAGTGGTGAACAATGATTTCGGACATTCATAAATTATGAATTCATGCCTGCACATTCACTTTGGAACCATGCCTACACATTCCCGTCTGAAATCACGGACATTCATAAATTATGAATCCATGCCTGCACATTCACTTTGGAACCATGCCTACACATTCACTTTGGAACCATGAGATTATGAATTTTCTGTTATGAGATTATGAATTTTCTGTTATGAGATTATGAAAATTTATGAAAATTTATAATCTCATAACAGAAAATTCATAATTTGATCGACGCGCGCCGTTAACTCCACATCCGCGATTTTTTTTTTTTTTTTTTTTGCCCTAAAAACGACGTCGTTTGGCCTTGTGTTCACCATTCTCGGTGAACACGTTTCCAAGGGCATAATTTGCCAAAGGTTAGCATATAGAAGCTGGACATTCTATGACAAAGTTTTCCAATTAATATTGGGCTTACAACCACGCAAAAATTTTAAAGATCATCACATCAGAAAGCTAAGATCTTATGTAGAATCGCTATGTTAGCTACTTTAAGTATGCTCTCAGATTAATTGATCCAACCAACTACATTCACGCTTAAAGAAACAAAAGGAAAACCCGACGCACTTAAATGATCTCTCCTGTTGAAACCTCTACGACCTACTTCCTCCGGAGGACAAAAATGTTTAATTCTGAAGGAAAATTTAAGAAAAATGAATTGTTAGTAATGATATTGAATCCTATTATCCGAACTCAACCTAAGTGATAGACTCATCGACACCTGAACGAGTATCAACCACTCGATCGAATTGCATTTGTATGTTAACTCACATCACATCACATCTCTACCTGATTCAGGCACAATTTATGGCGAAAATTAAAAATGCTTTTCAATTATATATTCACAAATTAAAAACATGGAAATGCATGCGAGTAACGAAAGTGGAATCGATGTAGACCTGATAGGTAGTGTCGAATTTATCGTACATGAAACGGGTGATGATGCTGGTTTTTCCGACCGATTGATCTCCGAGAAACACCAGCTTGTACTTTGCTAGAGGTGAAACCACCGCCATTACGTTAGTTACGTTGCTTTGAATCGATTTGATTGTTTTGGTATCACAGTAGTCTCTCTGCGTTAGGAGAAGATCGATCAGACCAGATCTGAATCGGTGGAAGGAGAGAGAGAGGAGAGAAGATTAAGGCGCAGAGCGAGGGGAGAGAGGCACGTAGGAATGAGAAGTAAGCAAGCAACGAACGATGAATACGCATGCTTTGAATTGCCAATTTATATACCGCTTACAAATAAAACCGCCAACCACCCCATTATGCTAGTAATATAAGTTATATTAAGATTTTGTTTTATATGTACACTAGTATTTGCACCCGTGCGATGCACGAAATGAATTTGTTGTAATATATTAAGAATATATGAATCTATATATAATTATTTAAATTAGAAAATTCAATATTATATAGTGTGATTAAAGATATGGTTTGGATCAGTTATATATTTTGATAATATCATTTATTGAATTTGTGCAAATAGTTGCTCAAATTAATAACTAATGTCTAGATGTATACATGCGGTGCTATAACTTTGAAGATTTTAGTTACTCCGTATCATTATTTAGTATTTTCATAAATTAAGCAAATGTGCTCATTCTCTAACAGCTCAGTTATAAAAATGAATTGCTATCATTATTCATTTGTATGGAAGATATATTTTTTTTGTCTAGATATATAACAATTTTTTCATTTAAAAAAAAATTAATATCACCGATTATATTTACACATTATTGAAATCTCTTTGTAAACGACATTGGTAGTAACAACACAATCTTGTTCATCTTCGTCTAGAGCTAACACCTTTAATCCAACCGGATAGGTTACTTGGGTGAAAATATATAATGGCAGAATATCACTCAATTAGTTATCCATTTTATATTTTCAATCAATTAGTCAATTAGAATATCAAATGCAATGATATTTTTACCAAATTTTCGTTCAATTTTTAATTGATGATGTAGATATTATTATTGAAATATTTCCGTTCAATTTTTAATTTACTTTTACTATTGTTTAAAATATGCATTTACTATTGATAATGTATAATATTATTATTCAAATATTTTCCTCTAATTTTTAATTTCCATTCCATTTTTAATTAAAATGCAATGATCTGATCATTTCTTGTTTTATTTTAGTAAATTATGGATCATTTTTATTTTCAGTCATTAATATTCATTTCCTCTTATATTTCAAGTTAATTAGTAATATTATAATATTATATTCATTTTCAGTCAATTATTTTTTTTTAAATTTTCAGTCAATTAGAATATAGATACAGTGATATTTTTACCTAATTTCCGATCTATTTTAATTTGATAATTTAATATTATTAATGAAATATTTTTGTTCCATTTTTAATTTACCTTGACTATTTTTTAAACTATATTTTTACTATTTGATGATGTAAAATATTATTATTATTAAAATATTTCCTTTCCAATTTTAATTTTCCTTTACTTCTAAACCAAAAAAAAAAAGAAAAAAAAGAAAAAAAAAACTTTGGACTTCTCAATACTTACCCAAATTGATGGGCAAGCAATTTATGTTTGTAAGATGAGCAATTATATAAAGAAGCTCAAGAGCTCATCTTTTCAAACATTTTCAATGTGGGATCAAAATGATCTAACATCATTTACAAAAGGGGCCCGTGGCTCCCTTTTGTCTTCTTCTTATTATTTTTAATTTTAATTTTATTTTGTATATCGTTTGTTTAGATGATTATTATTATTATTATTATTATTATTATTATTATTATTGTTGTTGTTGTTGTTGTTGTTGTTGTTGTTGTTGTTGTTGTTGTCGTTGTAATTTGATTATTGATAAATTCGTCAAAATTTTAACAAATTCGTCATTTTAACTTTAATCAAAACACCAAAAAAATTATATAATAACTCAGTAATTTTCTCTAAACATGTAAAAACTAATGTAACACATACATTTTTTGTTAATCTTTCACAACCCCACTAATAATAAATAAATAAATAAAAATTAAAATAAGAAGAAAAATTTAAGACTTCTTAAATAAGAACCTTTTGACTTCTCAATATTTGCCCACATTGATGGGCAAGCAATTATGTTTGTAAGAGGATCATTGCCCTCTCTTTTCAAACATTTTCAACGTGGGATCAAAATGATCACACAGCATTTACAAAGGGAACTTGTGACTCCCCTTTTTCCATTTTTTTTTTAATTTTAATTTTATTTTGTATATAGTTTTGTTTGGATTATTATTATTATTATTATTATTATTATTATTATTATTATTATTATTATTATTATTATTATTATTATTATTATTATTATTATTATTATTATTATTATTATTATTATATTATTGTTGTTGTTGTTGTTGTTATTGTTGTTATTCTATTTTGATTATTTGACAAATTTGCCAAATTTTTAAGAAATTCGTCTGTTTAACATTTTATATTTAATCAAAATACTAAAAATATTATTTAATAACTTAACAATTTGCTCCAAACTGCTAAAAACTAAAACAACTCATATACATTTTGCGTTAATCTTTCTTAAACCCCATAATAAATTAAAAAATTGAAAGAAAACAAAAACTTAAATAAGAAGCCATTAAGATAATGTTTCTTAAATAAGAGCATTTTGAGATGTTGGTCTTCAATAGGTTGAGAAAGTTTACATGTAAAAGGGTCAATCGAATAATTACGTTATACTATGGAACCGTGTCCACCTTGCAAGGTGGACACAGTTCTATGTTCATAATTATTGAACTATATGTTCATTATTATAAAGCTATATATTCATAATCTTTGAACTTCATATTCATAATTATTGAACTATCTTCACAATTACAGAACTCTATGTTCTTAATTACTGAACTATATGTTCATAATTATAAAACTATATATTCATAATTTTTTAACTTCATATTCACAATTACTAAATCTCTATATTCATAATTACATAACTATATGTTCACAACACTATGTTCATAATTATAGTAGAACTATATGTTCATAATTTTTGAACTATATATTCATATATTTATGAACAATTTTAGAATTGTGTCTACCTTGCAAAGTGGACACAATTTCACAGCATAATTTGTCGGGTCAAAAGTACTTAAGAAAAAAAAACCTTTGGACTACTCAATACTTCACATATTGATGGGCAAGCAATTATATTTGTGAGAGGAACATTGCTCCTCTTATATAGAGGAGCTCAAGAGCTCCCATTTCTAAACATTTTCAATGTGGGATCAAAGTGATCTTACATCATTTACAAATGGGGGCCCGTGGCTCCCCTTTGTCTTTTTTTTTTTTTTAATTTTTTTTAATTTTTTTTTAATTTTTTTTTAATTTTAATTTTATTTTGTATATAGTTTTGTTTGGATTATTATTATTATTATTATTATTATTATTATTATTATTATTATTATTATTATTATTATTATTATTATTATTATTATTATTATTATTATTATTATTGTAATTATTATTATTATTATTACATAGGGTTTTTAATATATTTGAACAATAATATTATCAATTATATTATAGAATATAATACCATACACAATATTACCAATTATGCAATATTACCAATTAATAGATTTTATTTAATTTTCATGTGACATTTACTTACCAAATAAGTTATATATATATATATATATATATATATATATATATATATATATATATATATATATATATATATATATATATATATATATATATATATATATATATTATGAACAATTTTAAAACTGTGTTTACTTGCAATGTGGACACGGTTTCATAGTGCTTCTAAAATAAAAACCCTTGAAAAATGCGGGGCAATATTTACACTACGGCCTTGTTTTTAGATTGCCTTGTTTGATTATTGCTTCTCAATACAAAATAAGAAGTCATTAAGGCTTCTAAAATAAAAACTTTTTTTTAAATAGTAAAAATAAAATTATTATTTTATTTGTAATAATTAAACATCACTGTATTTTATTTAGTAGGGGAGGGGAAATATATGTACTATTTTAAAAAATGAGGGGCAATATTTACACTACGGGAGGGCACTTTATGTACCGTTTTAAAAATTGTCAATAAAAACCCTTGAAAAATGCGGGGCAATATTTTCACTACGGCCTTGTTTTTAGATTGCCTTGTTTGATTATTGCTTCACAATACAAAATAAGAAGTCATTAAGGCTTCTAAAATAAAAACTCTTTTTTAAATAGTAAAAATAAAATTATTATTTTATTTGTAATAATTAAACATCACTGTATTTTATTTAGTAGGGGAGGGGAAATATATGTACTATTTTAAAAAATGAGGGGCAATATTTACACTACGGGAGGGCACTTTATGTACCGTTTTAAAAATTGAGGACAACATTTATACCACAAATAATTTAGGGGTGACATTAATAATTGGCTTTTTATGGTGGAAGAGTTTGGATGGAAAAACACAAGAGATGATTTTGTTTTTAATAATAGTATAAATTTTTTTTTTTTTGAAAGTTACTGGCTCTATTACATTGTAGTATCTGTTCATATACTTTCTCAACCTACTGAAACACAAAGAACCAATAACGCCTCCACTGAGGCTCGAAATCATAATCTTCCAAATGGAAGTCCAACCCGGGTACCATTAGACCACATAGTATAAATTAATTATTCTAGAGTGTAATTATTTATTACTCAATTGACTCATTTAAAATTATCTGGTACTACATACTTATAATTAGAGTAGTTATTACCATTTTAGAATATTTTTTTATTGAATTGACTCATTTATGAATTGAATGAAAAAATTTTGTGTAATATTAGAGTATATCAGTTTCCAAAATTAATTAGTCTATATTCTACTATATTCTTCTACAATGTCTATTAGCATAATTAATTATTCAATAATCTTAATATTTTTTTTATTCAAGATGTAGAAAATGCAGTAGTCTTTATTGGTCTTATAATAGATTTTAACCATGGAAGTGTAGTGTATATATGTATATATTTTACCATATTTAAAATGTTTTTTTTTTATTCAGTTGA